GATTCAGAGGCAGCATCTTGAATTAAAAATCACAGCAGATATTCCTGGGGAGTAGTGCTCCTAAACTCGGCTGTGCAGTGGGAGAATTCCATAGAGAGTTTTCCTACCATACTCAGGGCCTAATCTGAAATTCTATTTACTTTTTTTTTCAGGGTTGCAGCAGACTCCAAAGGCTGCAATAGGGGCTCTGGAAATTTTGTGGAAACATTCCATAACTTTTGACTTTTATGAACAAGAACAACTTTTTGTGATGCACATTAAATTCTGGTTCAGCTCTGAAGGTTTAATATTAAGCTTAGTAATAAGCCTAACCTGGAGCTTAGCCTTTTGATTAACCCGGAGAAGCAGTTCAAATTTTGTGACTCTGTATCCATCAGTCTAGCCACTCTCCCAACAGATAAGGCGTATATGAAGACAATGTACTGTGTTGATGGTTCCAAAACTCCTATATCTTAGCACGCATGGCAAAATGAACAACATATGCATTGGTAGCATAAGAAGCATCTGTTCAATATGCACATCTGAAGAAAAGGTACCTAGTGGGACAGGGTCTGGGTTGACGGGACTCTGCTGCCGGGAGTGACTGCTGCTTCCACTGCCACCCTTTTTCAGGTCCTCCGCGTCGCTGTACCGCCGGATCCAATAATTCAGCTCCTCGCGATCTGCTTCCTGACACCGCCGGAGCACAGTGAGAGACCGCCTGGTCTTTTCTACCATGTCCATTATGCAGTTTAACAGCTGTGTGAGAAAAAGCGTGGAACAGGAAGAATACACAAATCACCACAACTGGAAGGTTTGGGGTGCCGGTAAAAAATTATTTCAGGAAAATAGGGATGGTGTGCTTTTAATACTTTTTAAAGTTTGGATTTGAAATTCAGGTCCAAACGCTGAGAAAACCCAATGCGCAGGAGAAAGAAGAGTGAGAGGTACGGACGTGAGCTGTGACACTGTCGCTCTATAAACAACATGAACGCTTCTCAAGAAAACAGGGCCCATAGATTTCACTTGGCAGATGATTTCCCAAGAGCTATCCATTTCTCTGGCATGAGTGGATCTAATATCAATTTAAAGCTCTAATTTTAAATTCTACTTCAAACATTTTCACTTTTCTTTTTTTTTTTTTTCATATAAACCCAAAGTCCGAGCAATCAAGGTATCACTTAGCTTTCGTTTTATCATATAACCTCACTCCATATGGTTTCCAAACAGTTTTCAATCTAAAGGATTACCAATGTCTTACATGGTCAAGATGTTTCCATTCCTCTGCCCATTCTCTGTCTGTGAGTCTATGATCGATCATCTCTTCTTGACGTGTGCCATGCAACCCTAGGAAGCAGAAAAGAAGGCTGATTCATCTCCAAGTGTTCAGAACACAACCCATGTGCAAATGGTCTTATAGCAAGGCGGATGGGCAAATGGAATGACTGGAGAAGATACTTGTTTTTCAACGGTGTCACACTTAGATTCACAACCTTGCATGCCTTGAAGAACTATAAACGTGGGAAGGTGAGAGATTACAGGTCTGTGGTCTTTCATGTGACTCAGGAGTAAACAGAAGGTTAAATGACACAAAGTCCAGGGCTACTCATCAGTAACAACCAAACTCACTGCCAGCAAGTCGATGCCGACTCATAGCGACCAGATATGACAGGACTGAACTGCCCCTGTGAGTTTCGGAGACTGTAACTGTGGGCAGAAGCAAGCGCTGCCTTCTCTCTTGGAGCAGCACGTGGTGGTTCTGAATGACTGGCCTTGGGGATTGCAGCCCAGCTCCTAACCACTGCCCCACCAGCCCTCCTCACTCACTTATAAAGTACTTCCTTGTGATAAATGCTTTTTAACATTTCATTTTTGCTGTTACTGCTGTGAATACCTTCAGGAGAACAGACAATTGCACAGCCACTCTTGTCTTTCTGCTCTGAGTTCTTCCTCCCCGTTCATGTGAATGTATTGCCTTCTAAGTTTCTTCTTTATTCTGTGAATTACTATTGTCAACTTCTCTCCCATAGATGAGTTTAAAAGAACACAACACTCAAGGTAGACAGTCTTTACTAATTAAGATAAATGACTATTTGGCTTTAAGATTTGTGGTTTAAGGTTTAAAAATTAATTCAGGGCCTTGTCCATGGCTGTGGGGAATGCCAATGGCCCAGCCATTGTGGAAAACTGTGTGACAATTTCTCAGTAAATTAAAAATAGAGCTACCATATGATTCAGCAATTCCACCCCTAGGTGGACACCCCAAAGACATGAAAGCAAAGACTCACAGATACTTACGCACCAGTGTTCATTGCAGCACTGTCCACAATAGCCAAAGGGTGGACACATGGCCATGAACAGAGGACTAGAAAAACAAAGTGTGGTATAACCTAATTCTTAACACGGGAAGCCACAGCTAAATGCTACACAACTACAAAACACGGCTTCCTTCATTAAACATCAGGATAGTATAAAGTCGTTTTATATGGGCAGAGGTAAGTAACTGGAGCCCTGCTGGCATAGTGCGTTATGAGCTGGGCTGCCAGTAGCGCTGTGAGCTGTGGGAAACACTGGCTGTTCCAGTCTCAGAAACCCGCAGGGGCAGTGCTGCTCTGTCCCAGACTGTGGCAGCGAGGCAGTGTGGGCACGATGGCAGTAAGTGTTTGAGTGAGTGAGCGACAAGCAGCGTAAAATGCTTCCATGTTTCAACAAAGTGTAGAGGAACACAATCCTAACAGACATCCTACCCTGATAAAATGAGGTAATAACGAGAGTGGGCTGGGAGCATATGAAAATGACCTCTGTATACTCAATTTACCAAAAAAGATTTTTTTTAAACAAACAGGGAATCTTTTGAAAAATTAAAAAGTCAACATCCCAGACTTATTTTTAGAAATTATCATAAAACCAAGTCCTCGTTCATAACCTAAGTATGAATTAATGCTTGTTAGCTTTACAGTGAAGAGGCTACTATACAAATGCTTTTGTGAGCCACAATATGAATGATCACTAGCAGTTAGCTGGGCTGTCTACCAACAGAGAAAACAAGAATGGGGCTTCGAAACGTTTGTGGAAAAATGAACCTTTGCAAATGTGCCACACGTAGGGGAATGAAAGATCTGTAAGAGACATACGATGATCCTCTTACAGGTTCATATGAGTCAGAGACCTTTCATTTTTCTCTCAAGGTAAGGCACTGGGATATAAAAATATAGAAAATATAAAACATATTTAAAAAGTCTGACATGGAGTGGGCTTCTATGCTCCCTGCTACTCCTGTGAGACGAGGAATAACTAAGAGTGACGTGACCAGAACGGCTGTCAAAGCTGCATGCCATTTTTGTGTGAAATCGGAGTAGAGACTCATTACTGTGGTTGGCTTGGACTCTAAATCTTATCTCCATTTTAGAAGAATAACGATGAGTCACACGACCCATCCAGACCCATCAACCATGAATACAATTTAATTTGTAGCTGATACCAGTGCACAACAGATATACAACTCTTTCTCAAATGAAATGAAAATTTAAATCTAAAACACAATACAGTCCAATTAGAACACATTCTTAGACATGTTTTAAAAGCTGAAATTGCCAATGCCATCTATTGGTAAAACAGTAAAATTGCAAATACATTTTGCTTATTTGCATAAAAGAAAAGCCAGGGGAAAGTCCTATTTCGTTATTGCTGGGTTTGTTGTGATTATTTCAAGCTGAGATGTTTTCAAATATGTAATTTTTGTTGACTTATTTGCTGCTTGTGTTTTAGGGGGGAAAGCACTACTGTTAAAATCAGTGACTGTGGGGGGAGGTCAGGTGTGTAGGCATTCCCCTCCTGAGGGCCATCAGTTGCCAGACTGCAGTGGGCCCCCTCCCCCCCTGCTGTTTGGGACAATGGACAGGCTCCTGTAGGCCAGAATTCACATCTTATTGATAATAATGGTCTCTATCAGTTGGGCCAGGAACAAGCCAAACCGGCTCTGTGACATCCAAAGTTAGGCTGCCATCCTAAATCTAGGATTCGCCCATCATGTCACATGTATACCCCCAATCCCTCCTCTTCCTATTGCGTGCATGTCCCTAGACCACCCGCTCATGACTGTGTAACCTATAGTGCAACCCCTTCCCGTGACATATGTCTTTACCTGTAATTAGTGGGCTTGCACAGCCCCCAAAGGTATATAGGCCTGGGTCAGCAATAGAGAGCTCTCTCCTCCTCTGGCCTCTCTCGCTGGCCTTTTCCCTCTCTCCTCTCCCACGTCTCTCCCTTGTTCCCTTTCCTGTCCTCCTTCCCTTCCCCCTCTCTCCACGTGGACCACCAAGCTGGGCTGAGGTGAGCAATGCTACCATGCAATGTGTCTGACTGCATTAATGTACTATCTCTCCTCTACCTCGCATGCTCTGGATGACTTTAATATAATATAATATAATATAATATAATATAATATAATATAATATATATCTCAACCGTACAATTGGTACAATTGTGCACTACTGAACCCGTGGGTAGTAGTCGTGGGGGGCTGGCTCCCCCTACTCCAGCAAAACTTAATACTCCAAGTTACCACAAGAAATAATGGGGAGAATGAGGAGGACCTCAAAGTGACCGTGACTATAGTGGGGGCATCGTAATATTTGCGAAGAAAGACTGACAACTCCAGTGGCCTCACGAGCTTCATGTATCCCGCTGACTAGTCCTGGGCAGACTTGGCGTTCTTTCAACCCAAGCTCCCCACCACCGAGGCAACTCCAACGCAGAGCAGGCCACGGAGGCAGGGCTGAACTGCCCCGGGTTCCCAAGGCGGCAATCTTCCCGGGAGTCTTTCTCCCAGTATGAGTCCCAGCATCTGGGAAAACTTTACTGTGAAGCAGGATATGTGGTTAATAGGATCAGTATTTATGTATAATATTGGTAGGTTCTATCTTGCATTGGAATATGTTTACATACAAGTGTTTGGTATAGAAACCTAGCAGAAACACAATGAACCACTTTCTGCTCTGGGTGCTGACAATCACATATTAGATAGGAACAGGTATTCTAAAGGGAAAAAAACCCCTCAGAATGCTGCATTAATACATTTCTGATCCTTAAATATTCAGTACCTCATCATTTTTATTTATAGTCACAGGGCTAGCAGGATATATTAAAGAAATAGGCCGTGACCCTCAAAGAGCATATTTTAATTTGTGAGAAATCTGACACTCATGTGGAGTTTTAACTGCTTCATGTGTTTTAGAGGATTTTAATAAACTTGCTGACACCTGATGTTTGCTTATGAATGAATGCTGCTTATCGAGATATTTTATTCAATAATTTTAGTGAGTATATGTCCCTGTGTATAACAGGCATTTGTAAATCATACAAAATGAAGTATACCAGTTATGACAATTTTTATATTCACAAATGGCAACCTGATGTAAAACCATAATTTGTCACCATCAAGATTTTACTTCATATTAATGCACACTAAACTATGCCAGCCTTTAAGGATATTTAAGTAGTTTCACATATTTATCAAGATTAGCACTATTAGTTTTATAAGCTAATAAAATTAAAAGGTAAGGAACGTGGTATAAAGAAAATCACATAAAACCAGTGGGTACCGATATAATTCATAAAGGGATATTTTACATTACTAGATGAATACATAATCATTGCACATATGCATAATTACTTCCTTACTGATTACTTTATAATGCACTGAAACTAATATTTCATAAAATAGCATTTGCGCCTAAGAAATAAGCCATTTCCTAGCACCTACAAAGTGGGATATCTTTTATTGGTCTTACAATGACCTGATGATTCCATTTGTATTGTCAAATGAGCAATAGTGGATGTTAGGACTGTAAGCCCTAAGTAAATAGCAAAGCTTTTGCTGAGGAGGAGGTTGCTATACTATTTTATCTGGGGGGTGGTCAAAATATCAATCCAGGCTGAGAAAGAACGTAATCACGTTTTGAAAGCTCTTCAGAAATGGATTCTGAGAGAACATTAGGCAGATTGGCTATTAAGAAAACACAAATTATATGCTTAGCCATTTGTTTGACAGCATGCAAATGTAGAAATCACTGCTGTGTGGAACGCAGAGCCACCGCTGTAGCAACTCATAACCAGCGTGCTGATCAACTGCCCCTTCATTCTGACCCCTCTGTCCCCTTCGGCTTCCTCGCTGTTTGGAGGAACGTGTGCAGGAAAGTCACAACCAGCATCATGACAAAGTGACCCGAGTCTGACCGTCCGTTTGCTCAGAAGGTAGCAGGACATCTCAGGTCAGCTGCTGAGCCCGCTCTCTCTGTATGTGACTAAAGACTCATTGTCACTCCTACTTAGGCAGCGGATCACTGGCTGGCTGCATTTCCCATATTTCTGCATCCTCAGCTCCAGTTTCCCGTTTCCCACTTGGACTTCATCCCTAGCCATTCCCGGCACGCTGCCCACCACATTATGTCAGGAGAGTCTGCCAGCACCTTGGTATAAATTAAGGAAGACCTGCGGCTAGGTATCACGAAATAAGAGGTGGGCAAAGATGAGAGGGCGGCCTACTGCTCTCATCGGTGCTGAATCCTCTGACTCACCACAAGTTCAGAACGGATGCCAGGTGCTCCAGCAGGAGTGTGCTCACTCCCTCAGTGGTACCACCACCTTGGCCCCATCACATATCCAAACTCACCCTGCTCAAACCCCCATCTCCTGTTCCTGGGCAATGCCTCTTTCTCTCCTGGCAGCTACTCTACCGCCTCCCTTCCAACAGCTTGACATTGGCCCCCAATTCATTCCTTCTTGGTCGATGATCTTTAACACAAAGTTAACAATACTAAATTTAACTTTTGGCACTTTCAGATCAAGTATCGATTCCTCCCTCACACACTTCTGTCGTGTGAAACCACAGATAATATACCATATCATGTTTTAGGAACCTAGAATAACATGGAGATTGGGGATATCAAAAATTAATTTGGGACCATTTGACATCAAAGCAGCAATGCAAGAAAGAAAACCTGAAAAACAGACTTGTGGCAAGCATGCAGCATATGAAATTACTCATGCGAAAATAAAATTTATAGTAAAAACTCATTTTGCCTTTGCTCTCACAAATGGAGGGTTTTGTATTAATTTAGATGCCTCTTGACGACTCGCTTCCCCCACCAAAAAAAATGTGACTTGCCACCTGAAAGGGGACAAGTGACTGAGAGAAGAAAGCTGTCAGAGAACCTATTCATGCTACATGAGTGTTCGCCTCGTGGCATCATAAAAGAATCCGTGCCCCATTACAGATTCCAAGCCCCAAGTTCAGTTGAAAAGTAGGAAGTGGACAGTCCATAAAACATGAGCAGTTCTCCCATCTTACCCATAGGTCTGTTTCTTTCCCTGAGGTCCCTGTGGCTGGGGTGTCGATAAGAGTCCCTGTAGTGGTGGGCAATGGCCATATCGTCCAAACGGTAATGCTGGGGTGGAGGTGGGGTGGGGTGAGGCAGGCCATTGGGCTGGTAGGATAAGCCGTTACTTGGACTGTACCGCTGGCCTGGGCTAATAGTGCATGGTCGCTTGCTTGGATGTTCTGAGTGCAAAGGCTCTCTGTCAAAGCCATTTTCTTTGGTTCTGAGGGAGAAGAAAAAGAGATTGTTTCAGAAGTTACTCAACCACCATCATAAGTTCAGATACTTGCACCTGAGTTTGTAATATCAATAGAGTATCCCTTCATTAACCAGAAAATTTCTAACATCGGTTTCTCAGAAGACCCCTGGCAGTGCACGGGCAGCCATGCTGAGGTCTAAAATCATAAGATTACACAGGAGAAAACGTTTCCCTCCACATTCATCAAATTGGCAAACCTCTTTCCAGCTAAAGCTCTAGCGGTTGGATCCCATATAAAGGGAATACAATCATCCTCTGCGGATCACATATTTTAAAAAAAAGAGTCCTTGACTTCTAACAGTTCTGTTCTAAGACTGTTGCTCTCAATGTTTGTAAAGTGCTTGACTCGCCGAAAGTCAAGTAAGAAGAGAAGGGGCTGTAGGAGGCGGCCACTCACCCCTGGGGTACCATCACTTTGCGGGACGCTCACCCCGATCACTTAACAAAATTGACTTGATGAAGATTTGGTGACTGTGTTTAGGGGAGATTCATCAAGGTAGAGCATCGTCACTCTCTTAAAGACTCAAGATGTCCCCATCCTATGTATCTAACGGGGCATACGACTTTCTCGTCAGGGAATACCTAAAAATTGCATCATTGACTACAGTAGGCATCACATATGTCCATCTGCATTTACATGACTGTTAAGTAAAATGAAATTGATGCCCCATAATAATGGCCATATTTTGGGTGCTCAGTGCCTATGATGCTGGGCAGGGCAGAGAGAGAACAATGTCATCATTAAAGAAAAGTCTCCTGGAACGTACTGATCCAATTGGACTAACACAGTAAAGCAATGTGCTCTCTGGGGTTCCAGTGTCACCTTGAGTCACCCAGGTAATCAACCAGCAGGGGTACAACAGAACTAGCCAGGCCTAGGAGGATAATAATCCAAGGTCACCCCTTCCTTTAAAAATGAGAAAATGCATGCTCAGAGAAAATTTGTGTAACCTTTCTGGGTCATGAGGTCATGTGGCTAGATTAGCACATCTCAACTACACTACATCAGATTGAAGTACAGGTCTTAAAACTTGGCTTTCAGAAGGCAGGCATTCTACAAATGAAACCTATTAACTACTCACTGCTCCTAGGTTCTCAAACAAAGGTAGTGCTAAATAAGCATTTTCTGGCTAAATCTCTCTCTCTTGCCTTAGAGGCAATAACCAGTTTTCTCAATATGATCAGAACAAAATTGGGGTCCAACTTTAGTAGCTAGAATCATAGCCCCCAGACTGAGTCTTTGCTCAGCAGCAGGTTCTCCTCAGCGCTCTAGTCTTAGAAGTGTGACGTTTCTTTCTTCAAGTAAACTTTCCATAAGAAGTCAGGTGCACATTCTGGAAAGCCTCTGTGGTTTCAGGCTGGTAAATAGTAGCATAGAGACCTCAAGTAACCCCTCCTACTTTTCAACATCAGCAATTATCTCTACCTGGGAAGGGGAGGAGCAGAATCTGAATGGACAACAGAGCTCATCAGCGGCAATGAGACCATCCTTCAAGTCCTGAGGATCCCCCGTGGGACAGTGGTTATCCTATTGAGCTGCTAACCACAAGGTCACAGTTCAAAACCACCAACCACTCTGTGGGAGAGAGAGGAGGCCTTCGACTCCTGTTAAGAGTTAGCATCTCAGAAGCCCACAGGGGAGCGCCTGGCCATCCTGTAGTGTAGCTGTGAGTCACAATGGCCCCAACGGCATGGCGTTTGTTTAAGCCCCATTGGGGTGGATGCCCAGAGACAATTGGAACACACCAAATGGAAGAGAAGAAAGGAGTCAGAGGCAGAGGTTGCCAGCGCACAGTGAGCAGAAGTAAAGTCTGAGCAGTTTGATGTGAAATAAATCAAATAAAGTCACTGCCATTGGGCGGGTTCTGACTCACAGGGACCCTGCAGGACAGAGTAGAACTGCTTCTGTGGATTTCCAAGACTGTAAATCTTTGTGGGCACAGCAACGTCCCATGAAATAAATATGTGGACCTAAAACAAAAATTCGTGGTTATAGATTTGACTCATGTCAGCTGTATGTGTTGTAGAAGGTACCCATGGCTGTGACCTCTTCCAGAACAGACCACCAAGTCTTTCTTCTGTGATGCTTCTCCCCGGACTTGAATCACCAACCTTTAAGTTAGTAACTCAGCACCCAAAGACATGCGCACTGCATACTAAGGAAGGATGCAACATAGTGGAAACAGGAGAGCTATTGGAAATGACAGCAGAGTCTGGTCTCCATGGGAACAGGGCCAAAAGTCTCAATGATACTCCCATCAAAGTATGTGTCTGTACTAAAACATACTGACTCCATACATATTGATCACTGTTATCAGACTAGAATGTCCAATATAGCACAGACATTACCTAAATGCACGGCTTTCAAATAATTCTAAAAAGTGAAAGAAAACATTAGACTATTGATTAACCATCTGAGTACATCTAGGCACTTCCAATCTACATTTTCATATCCTATACACTTCTAAATAATACACTTCAGCATCTAAGGCTTATTACCAGCATACATTAGGTGGAAAATACCAAAGACTTAATAGCCATGAACATACTGCTAACACAGCACCTACCTTACTGGCAGTGTGGTGTAGTGGAAAGAGCACTGGACTGGAAATCAAGAGACCTGAGATTTAGTCCTGGCTCTTCCACGACTAGCTGTGTGACCTTGCCAAGCCACTTAACCTCTCTGGACCTCAGTTTGCTCATCTGTAAAATGAAAGGGTTGGACTAGATCAGTGGTTTTCAAGCTGTGCCACCTGAAGTGTTTCAGGGAATTGAAGCAATGAAGAATTGTTTTCCCAAGCAGTCTAGAAACAAAAGGCCAGAGGAAGCGACCTAACATTCCCATGTGTGTTACAAGTTGGGGCTCCACAAAGGATTTTCATTTGAACAGGCAAAAGGCTGGTGCTAAAATCAAGTTTGAAAACCACTGGACTAGATGATTTGAGGTCCCTTTCTAGGTTGGGAAACTGCATTTTCATGACTCTACCTAAACATCATGGGTATGCAGACTGAAACATGCTGGCCCGATGTCCCCTGGCCAAATTATAAGTTTCTAAGTCACGCCTTGTAGCCAAGTCCTCTGTTCTTTGCTTTGAAAAATTTATTTTCTTGTGCAAAAATAGAAAGTATACACTAAATATCTTATAGCAGCCCCCTGTAGCATTTCTAAATATCTTTGGCTCAGCTAGGTAAAACCACCTCAATTTGCTATGTTCACCTCTTCTTGTTCAATGATAGCAATAATGGCACACGACAATGGAAGAAGTCTGAGTTTTCAAACGTTGTCAAATATGTGATTTTCTTGGTCTTCCCATGAGCCCTTGGGTCAATGGTATTGTGTCAATGATCCATTGTTGGGAGCAGGGATGGGTGCTTTGTTTTTTCCCCCTAAAACAAGGGAAATGGTGTTATAAATGCCAAGGCTAGGTCCAAGGAGTCTTCTCTCCCCTCAACGCCCCCACCTCAGGGTAACCTGCCCTGGCTCCCATTTCTCATCACTGCATAAGGGCGTTACACCCTCACATTGGAGACAGATAGTTCACAGCCACAGACATGGAGCTATGCACAATCCCCGTACTTCCCCCCACTCAGGGCTTTGTACTTGTAAGACCAACCTTGGTCAAAGGATTCCTGTCCATACTGCGAACTAAAACAATGTGATTTTTTTTTTTTTTGGGTCTGTTTGCTTCTTCGAAAAGTCTACAACTAGCTACACTTAATTTGCCTGGGCAAATTCCAAATTTGCATTTTTATTTGTTGCCCTTTCAAAGTGGATTAGGCAAAATGAACTAATACTTTTTGTTGTCAGTTTCACTGATTCTTTTTTCAAACAGCTCCTATTCTAGTGGGAAAGCCTGCAGGCCTCACAGACTGCTGGAAGAGTATTTTGTTTTGTTTTAATCAACATGAGGCTGTTCGATCTCCCTCCCACAGTCCCTGCAACAGGGGCGTCCTGATCACTTCTTTCTCAGTCTGATTCAAAAGCTCGCTGGTGCTCAGGAGGCAGCCACACGACCTCTCCTGTCCATTACAAAAGCACCGACAGGAAAGGACCAAACCAGCCTCCTTGCAACCAATTCAGTTCTGACTGGTAGTGACCCTAGAGGACAAATAGGACCCCCACGGTAAGTTTCCAAGACTGTAACTCTGTATAGGAATTTGAAAAGCCTCATCTTTCTCCTACAGAGCAGTCAGTTGTTTCGAACGATTGGTGTTAAGGTTAGCAGCTCGACACATTGCCTGAGCATGTCAGAAAGTCTAAAAACCTAATTTTTGATCATTCTCTACCTCAAGCTATTTTCCCCCAGTTGCTCAGTAACGAAAGATCCAAACTATTTGAAAAGAAAACAAACCTCCTTTAAAAAACAAACAGAAAAAACACCTGTCTTTCTATAGCAGTGAGTGCAAGAAAGGAGAAAATGTTCTAAAGCTGGTTGTGGTCATAATTATTGTACAACTCTTGTTGATATGATTGAATTGTTAAATTGTATGATATGGGGGTCGTGTGTCAATACAACTTTTAAAAAACAACAAAACTTTCTTCTACATGAAAGAGTTCAAACGTTATGTTTTGTGAGTGTACTTTGATAATCCATGAGAGTCATATCAAAAATAAACCATTTAAGATAATTCAGGAGAATGGAAACTATATATACTATAAAATCATGATAATAAATAGAAAACGAAAATTCATTCTCTAGATTTCTATATGGCAAGATGATACAAAAGATGTTGCCTCTAGGTTTAAAACAATCAAAAAGGGAAGGGAAAAAAGTGGGGGGAAGGGAAGGAAATACCAGCATAAAGACTGTCCTAGGAGTACGCAGATTGGTACAGTCTAATAAACATTGGAATGAAAAAGAAAAAAGAAAGCAACCTTGAATTCCAATCTCCACCCTGGTACACATAAGTTTGTGTGCCCCAGGCTCATTCTTCCATGTTACAAGAGGCCTCTCACCCTAAAC